TCAGATATGTGAAAAATATGAGGACAAAGTTAAAAGTTAGATGTCAAGAAAACTGTCCTTAGGTTCTATATGCATACCAACAACCAAACAAGAGTCTCAGAATTAACACCTTAAGAGACGAGCACACGTGTACCATGGTGTGGCAAAATAAAAGGGTTAATGCAGGTTATCTGGCAAAAAAATATATAAGAAAGTTTAGGTCTGATCCCAATATACCAATGAGCAGTTTGTGAAAACTGTAAAAGAAGATTGCATGTATGAGATTTTAAAGTATCAGTTTTACAGGACAAGATCCAAATGTGTACAAGTAGGGGTGGGTAAAACCCGACCGAACCCGCCCAAACCGAACCAACCCGATCGGGTTAGATCGATTTTTTTGTTGTTTTTACACGGATTGGGTGGGTTGGCTATTTAGGAGGGTTGGGTTGGGTTGGGTCGGGTTATGGGTTAACTCAAGAAAATCGAAAAAACCAGCCCAACTCAACCCGTCACGCCACTTTTAAAAAAAAAATAATAATAATAAAAGAAATAAAATGCCTAGAAAAGTAAAAGAAACCTAAAAAGTATGAGTAGATAGTGTAACTGTAATTATCTTGATATATTTTAGAGGAGGTGCTTACTATTCTTCCCACAAGAAATGTAATATAAGTTTTTCACGTTATGTTAAATGCACTTTATTGTTTGTAGGCTCGGCTAATGAGAATTGAATAAGATAATATATAATTTTATTTATTTACTTACTATTTAATCTTGTCTATTCGAATTTAGTATAATATAAAATTGGATTACTTACCAACCCAACCCGATCGATACTTGATTGGCTTGGGTTAGGTTTCAACATTTACATGAGTTGGGTTGGGTTAAAGTTTGATCAAATCGATCATATTAGGTTGGGTTTGGGTTGAGGCAAAAACCAACACAACCCAACCCAACCCAACCCAACCCAACCCATGCCCATCCCAATATACAAGTGGTGCATGGAATTGCAGCTGAGCAGTACAAATTTTTAATGGGATTATGGAAATGAGTTAAAGAGAACAAATTATGGTAGTACAGTACAGATTGAAGGGTCATGTCCTCCTTTTAAGAGATTCTATATATATTTTAGGGGCTTGTAAGGAAGGTTTTAAGGCTGGATGCAGGCAGTAGTTGGGTTGGATGGTTGCTTCGTAAAGTCTGCACAAGGTAGACAGTTGCTGGCAGCTATTGGCATTGATAGTGAGAACTGTATGTTCCCTATGGCATGGGCAGTTATTGATGCTGAAAACAAACCAAATTGGTAATAGTTCATACAGTTGTTGGTTGATGACATATATATGTATAACCTTAGAGTTTGAACATACATTTCTAATAAACAAATGGGTTTGGTGAATTGTATAAGTCAATTATATGAAGGGGCTGAGCACATGTGTTGTGCTAGACATTTATACAACAATTTCACTTTGGTACACAAAGGTCTGACCCTTACTTGTTTTGGGCAGCAGCAAGGGCCACAACTGTGCCAGAGTGGAGAAATGCAATGAATGAGTTGAAATATGTTAATGAAGAAGCTCACAACTAGTCCACTGAAAAATCACATTCCCAGTTGAGCAAATCACATTTTGAATAGCATTCCAAGTGTGATATTCTTTTGAATAACTTGTGCAATACATTCAATGATTCCACTGTTGTTGCTAGAGAGAAGCCCATCATCTCAATACTGGAGAAAATCAGACATCAACAAATGATAAGAATGAATGCGAAAGGGGAATTAGCACAGAGGTGGGATAATGCATTTGGGTCAAGGTAATGAAAATCATTGAAAAGGTTAATGGTGAGTTGAGATACTTAAAGGCAGACTATGTAGATAGTCATAAGTTCGAAGTAACCAGCAGAGTGATTTGACAAAACGTGAATGTGTATGCAAAAAATGGCAACAACTGGAATACCATGTTCTCATGCAATATCAGGCATGCTTTCAAGGGATATAGGCATATATAACTACATTGATCCATGCATAGCAAAGAAACATACCTCGTGTGTTATTCCTTGGTGATCTAACATATGTCAGCACCAGAGCTATGGCCAGAGTTGGGAAAGCACCATCTGAATGAACAACAGAAGAAAAAATAGGCAGGTAGACCTAAAAAAATGAGAAAAAGGTCACAGACGGAGTCACTTGCAGGAATTAAGATGGGAAAGATTGGCATGAAGATGACATGTAAACAATGTAGGGGATCTGGACATAACAAAAAAAAGCTGTAAGGGACCACTGTCTTGGTGAAGCTAGTTCACAACAAGAATCACAACCAAGTACGCAACCAGAGTCTCAACAAGATACACAGTCAAGTACATCAAATGGGAAGAAAAGAGTACCATAAAAAATAACTTCAAGGTCACGGATGAAGAAGTCCAAGAATCAAGTATCTAAATCAACATGATGTGTTTTCTCTTTTATAGTTTTGTTGGGAAGTGAACACATTTTGTGAATATTATGTTTTTGTAAAGTGGACTGTAATTATTTCGCAAATGTTGTATTTGTTGATATGTGGAATGTAATGAAAGCATATGCAACAACTATTGTGATTTCATATGTTGTTCCAGACTGTTGAGGTTGAATTCATTGCATTACACTGTGTTTTCATCTGGTTTTCATCAAACATCGAGTCCAGACAATTAGGTTCTATGTGAAAATATTGGTAATTCTTAAGCAACAATCACCAAAAGTTTGACATTATCACTGCAACTATAACAAAATATTTGGTACTTTCAATGCAATTATAATAAAGGTTTGGTACCTTTGATGCACCGTATGCAAAACGTTTGGAGTGCGATCTGAACTTTAATTTCTCATTATACAAAGGGTAGAATTTGAAATGTGAAAGTCAGTACCAACTATAATATGGAAAGTGCACTTCATTTCAAGGAAAAATGTACAAACACGACCACATTTTACATCCACATTTCACAACATATAACATAAACCCCCAACACCTAAACATTAAACCTACATTTCTGAAGCTAAAAACGCCCATCCCACAAATTCATGTTGCATACCTAAGTACAAACCCATTTTACAAACACTCCACACACAATGCCGAACAGCTAAGTCTTCCACACATTTGGTCTTGTTGCTTGGAGGGTGCTGATTTCAGCTTTTATTTCCCTTAGGCCGTAATAGATCTAGAATCAACTCCCTAGATCTCTCACACATATGAGAGTCACGCCACACAAAAAATGTACATCCACACAAATCTTAGTTTCGAAGACAAGTGAGAAATCTTCTTCCGGGTTCATGTTTGTCCATAAGGTCTTCATCTGCGCCGGAAAACCTCATCTACATGCTAATTTTTCCTAACTGACTGTGAAAGAGAATGATATTAATAGTGATGAAAATGGAGGGACAATAAACGGTGAAGTGTAATAATAGAAAGGGAAAGTGTGTAAAGCCCAAGTTGCCCTTGTCTATTTGGTGGAAATTATTAAATTTTTTATTTCTAGGGTCAACTAACGATTTTGGTGGTCAAACATATGGAAACCGTTAATCTGGACTGGAGCTGTGATATTTTTAAAGGTTTGGTACAGTTTGTGACACAAATGAAAGGCTTTGGCAAAATCTGCAACCGAATGAAAGGTTTGATGCAATTTTCAATTTTTATAATACCCATATACTCCAAAAAGGGTGAAAAATATTAAACTAAAATAATTTTAAAAGGGATTACTATAGTTGAGATTCGAACTCAATATTCTCATTTACATGGATGGTACTGTAACGAACTGAACTACCATGACATTATGTGAATAAAAGGAAATTACATTTATATATCCAAATAAATAAACACGTTCCAAAATTAAAAAATTGAATGCTCGCAAATCCAACACATGCGGCCTCCAGAACTCGCTGGGTGTTGGATTCGTTGATGATGCTACCATAAATATACCATATGTGAAGATTATGATGCTATGACTAACCTCAGCTTGTTTCGAGTCTTCGAGTTTGCCTTTCTCAATAAGCAAGCTTACATCTTTGTTTGTTATTTGGGAGAATATTTACAAAGATCAATTGAATTTCTAGTAGTACGATGGAACAACTCTTATCACTAAGTTTATTACTTTCAAACTTGTTACAGTGGATGCATTTGTAGTTGAAATTTTGCATTTATTGTGAACAAATATTAATAGACATCATTATACTAAGTGCTTGTTTGATAGGGATTTTTGGGGGAAGAATTGATCTTGAATAGTGATATGATGGAAAGTGTATGGTTGAAAAAGAAGAAAAAATTATTGATATGATAGAAAATATTATTTTATCGAAAAATTTATGGTTGAAAATGAGAATTGATTTGAGAATCAATTTTCAAAATTAGAAACAAACACCCTCTAAATGTACACTCCTTCGTTTACAATGATTTTGACATTGTCTTTGTTTTTGAAAATTGGGGACGAAAAAACTGTTTTTGTATTTAAATTATCCAATAGTATTTTGTCACGTGGCACAATGTAAAAAAAAAATTGTAAAGAGATGATGTACATGTAACATGATTGAATAGACATATAAACAAATTTTAAAATGGTTAAAATTTGTGAAGTCGTCGAAAAATCACGCCACATGAGATATTTAAACTTTTTTATTTACTTATAATATACCTTTTTTTTTTAATTTGAGTCTTGAGAAAAATGTTATAATTACTGATTTCCCCATTTTCATTGTCACTTTCACTACTAATAAACCCGCAGCAACTACTATATACTTACTTTAAATAAATAAATCAGCAATGGATTACACAAATGTTTCCAAAACATTAATCCTAATAATGTTAATCTGAAAACCCCTTTCGATAGAACACTAGTCAAGTTTTTCCTTTTTGCTATGTTTAATGACAAAGAAGAGCCCCTTTTTTTAGCTCGGCTTGCAATATCCTGCCTTTCACCTGAAGAATCATTGATGAATTGCTGACAAATTCATACAATCTACAATACTGATAGTCCGCAATCAGGTTCTGAAACTGCATATTTTTTCATGCTTCGTCTCCACTACTCTCAATGACAACAAGACCTTTTTTGGTTTTAGACTTCTTAGCGGCTCTGCCTGCAGAATCTTCCCCATCGTCTGAAAAATCATCATCCATTTGGTGCGTTGATTCATAGTTGTCAATTGCATCTAGAATTTTCTTCCCATATTTATCTGCCTTCAACTTTCCAATAATCTTCTCCAACTGCAAGTAAAAGAAAGAGTACCTTTTTAGGAACATCGGTTATGTGAGCAACCCGCCCCTATGGGGATGTGTGCTTCTTAGTGAATTGCCAGCAACATCATCAAGAAGATATCCAAAACTATTAGCATGTCTGGAAGTTGGACTGATTTCTTGATTTGTGCATGACATCCTTGGGCAGGGGTCATGTAATCTTTTCTGTATCCCGAAAATTGTCTACTTGGTATAGTATTTTTCAATACGTGTACCCAATATACCTTAAGAGATTCTCCAGACACCTCAACACAAACCTAGAAGCTATGTGCATACGACATGACAGCAGCATAGTACAATACTGAGGATGTAAATAATCTACAAACCAGTTTTAAAGCCCAAAAATGTAATTGCAAGATCCATAGGAGAAGGTTTCATTTCGCGGCAGTAATTATAAGAACTTAATGGGAACAAAGCTGATAAAACAAAAAACAAAAAAAGTCAAGATATTAGAGATTGTACCTGTTCCATTGATCCTGGTTTCTCAGCGCTCAACATGTTAATTTGTTGAGTAGATAATACTGAATGAGGAAATATTCCCCCATCAAGAGAAGCAAGTTCCTTTCGCAGCTCATCAAGCTTAAATTTCAGCCCACAAGATCTACCGCGCTTGCTCAATTTCGTATTTGTTGAGCTGTTTCTCTCTCCACTATAAACCTCAAGCTTAATAATTTTCTTTCCTACAAGTGACAATAAGTTACAATTACAGTAACAAGAAAATATACTTCTTTTTCTCCCCTTTTTCTTCGTGTAACAACCAAAAAAGTATGCCTTCCATTCTTAAGAGGGATGCTCATTCAGCAATATATATATAACCAAAAAAATCAGAAGCAAATGGCAGACACAGTCTGCAAAATAACAGCACCATCTGAAATTCCAGGTTACATAGAATATTCTGAAAGGTAGCATCCTTACCATGCAATACTTGCTTCGCAAACGGTCCTAAGGTAACATAAGCATTTGTGGAATAAGCAGTATGCTGGAATTCTTCTTTCTGTAAGAGAAAGTACAAGACGACACATTCAAAAGAATGACGAAGAAGTTGAAACGACATTGTAAGTGCCAATTGATGGTAGGTGCAACAATAGAACAGATTTGTGACTGAATGCCTGACAAATTATCATCTATGAATGCTCTAGTTTCTTGGCACAAACATTTTGTTTTTAGCTTGCTGCTGGTCTATTTAACTGTCAACGGATAAATAATCTCATAGGTATTCAATTACGCCACCCACTTTTACTTTGCTCATTTTATCGCTCACTTCCATCTCATTTACAGAGTCAAATGTTACAACAGGATAATACAATTTGCAAACTACCCTTCTTTGTTATTCATTGTCGTGATCAAACAGGAAGATATGGAGCATGATTTGTGCATCAAGAGTTGAACCAGGAAAGGAGAGGAGAGAGGAACAATGAAGAACCACAAGTCTTACCAAAACATGATCCACTATAAGCTGAATAACAAGTTGTTCTAATTCCTCCTTTTTTAGCTGAGGACCTGTGTAAATATCATGAAATTCAGTATTCAAGTATATAGCTGCAAATCAAGTTTTTAAGTAGACAGCTTTAAAATAAGTTGTTCTAATTCCTCCTTTAAGTCCTGATATTTATCGTATAGGTTGGGTACTTGCAAGCAGATAACTACAAATCAAGTTTCTGAGAGCCTTTATATATGCCCTTTCCTGTGACCACGGAAGTAGTGGATATTTATTCATTGACAAGACTTGTGATTGGAGTCTAAACAACTTTTAGCATATGCTAATATATCAGAGGTCAGCCCCCGTTCAAGGCTTTCTGTTGGTTTCCCTTAAAGTGACCTAGACCTTGAAGCGTATAACAGAAAATACCTAATTCGTGCTTTCATCTTCATCAGCTTAAGCTTCTAATAGCTTCTTATCTCTGTGACTAATCATTCAAGACATTGCATGCAGAATAATAGAATATGATATACCAAAACTCGATAAGCTGCACCACACATGATACCTAATCCAGAAAGTTGAGATTATTGACTTTCTAAGTCGGGAAAAAGAAAACTTAGTTCCACACAGCATAAACCTTGAGCTTCAAATATTTAGCCATGTTTGGCCCCCATTTTCTAAACTCATTTTCAAACCACACATTTCATGGAACCAACTACTTTTTATCAATTTTTCAACCACACATTTCATCAACTTTTTTATCAAAATTTACTAAAAAACTGATTTTTATCTGAACAAAATAGGGGCTTAATTCTATCTGAATAATCTGTCTTTTAACCATGACCTATAAATCCTTGAGACGATGCACAAGAAACATAATATATAAAAATTAATATGCAGAACTTGCTTATATTCTTGTTCTTGATCTTCATCTTGTCAACCAATTGCAACATTGTCAGCCTTTGGTCATTCTCTTGCGTATCTTGCAACAAAGATACCATAAGTTTTGCATGACCTGCAAATCATCTCCATTAAAAATGCAACATTTAATTTCAACAGTGAATGCAGATATTGGAGCAACATAAAACCTATAGATTAACAGTCGCTCAAAATAAATTGGTTTTCAAACATATTCCTTATCCTCCTTTTTCTTTTATTTTTAAATTTTTGTGAATT